TGCATGTCTCGCAAGAAAATAGTGTTGTTTTTCTATATAATAAATCCTTTATTGACCCAGCTTCTTCTGTTAAGATGGCTGGATATTTTTTGGCCTCGTTCTTTTTTTCCGTGTTTATGGACCGATATACGGAGTCGCGGTCTCTCAGTTAACACGGAAAAAAAAAAAAATAGAACGAAGCGAAGATCCAGCCATCTTGACCGAACAAGGCTGGTCAATAACCATATTTAACAGACTCGCCTACGGGCATATCATTAAGTATGCGGATTAAGAGACAACGGCGACAATACAGTCGAAAATAAACACCTTCGATGAAGGTACGAATCACGAAATATATCATAATTCTACGCTAAGGAAATATTTCTGAATACATTCACTTAGAATAGGTACAAAGTATACTGTGACGGTGTCAGCCTTCGTTGAAAAAAAAAAAAAAAAAAAAAAAAAAAGAAAAAAAAAAAACTATCACTGTTTCAAGGGGTGCAAATCAGAAGAGTATTTCACATTATTAGCGTTCTATCACGTATTGACCAGTATGCTAGTCACTACCTATTCTGTTCTAGATTAGCAGGGTGCGCTTGCCAACAAAATGACCGTAACGGTTGCTTCTAATTACGTTTTCTCGAAGTGTCTATAAAGAGGCCGAGGCATGAAGATTTGAAGGACTAGTAGGTTATTGTAGATAAATGATGAGTGAAATGAGTAATTCGACTTGAGAACGCTTCTTCATTTAATTAGATTGTTCGCTCTCGATTTGCATGCGTGATATTGACTCGGGATCATCTCGAGCTCAAGCGAAGACTCCTCGGATTAATTCATGTACCGAATATTGATGTTTTTTTGCACGGCAGCAGGCTCTTTCGTGATCAGAGATATAAAAAAGTTCTTGAAAGTTGAAATGTAAACGATTTTGTCAAACCCGGACTGTGTTTAAAATGGAACTCTATCTCAAAAGGCTCGCTCTATCGGGGTTACATTTAAACATGTTCTAACCTGTTTCTGCCACTGATTTGACACCAGGAGAAGCTTTTGCACACGGGTGCCACATGACATAGCCAGATCCATGCGAACAACCAACCAGAGGCGAAAAATGCGCGTTACCAGGAAGAGATGTATTCGGATGTCTGTCTTCTTTCCAAAGACCTTGGAACGACATCACGTAGTTGGCCGTTCCAGAGCATCCGTCAGATTCGTCACCGTCTGAAGCTGAGACGACAGCAACAAGGAAGACGAAGCCCAGGAAGACCGAAGGTGTTATCATCCCAGATGCCATTCTTCGAAATGCAGTTGTCACTGAGTTGTGTTCAAAGCAGTGAGGAATTCAAGAAAAATTAAGAAGGTCAATGACGCTTTATATGTGTGTTGTTTAGACGGACTCGGCAAATTTGCAAATCTGTGTTTGGTAGCCCCGGGGAGTAAATACATTTAAAATTCAGCTGCCCGCGTTTTTCCCAAGTGGATAGTTATTGCTAACAACTGCAATTGAACACCGCAAGAAAAAAAACTTTCCTTTTATGATCATTCATATCCTGGACTGAAGATTAAGAACAATGGAGAAATGATGGAAAAGCCCTAATTTCCACACCAAAATCATTGACAGGCTATTTTCCCTCGTGTAGAAGCCACAAAATGCAAATTTACATGTTAATTTCGCGTGCAAATAGCAAACCTCTTTTGTCTTAACAACTATAAATATCTTTATAATCCATCAAATATTTTCGCTCGCGGGCGATTGGTCTAAACGCGTCACGCGACCAAATATGCCTCTAAACTAGGGAATATCCGATTGATATTCCCCAATTTTCAAAACTGCGCGTGTTGCGAAAAATATTTGACGGATAATAATCACAATAGCCTCCATTTGGCACGAAAATATGCTCGCAAATTTGTCAGATATTTGTCCTCAAAGGTCACAGCTCGGAATAAATTAACCGCGGACAAATATCT